TTCCTTTCCTGGTACTTCTCCTGGTTTTCCTCCAGATGCTTCTCGCTTCTCTCATGGTGCATCGCATTCCTCTTTAACGCCTGGTTCAGCAGCCTACATTGCTACTGTCCCAACATCCTCGGGCTCTAGCTCCTCATTGTCTGCGGATTCTTTGTGGTACCCTGACACCGGAGCTACTCACCATGTAACGAATGATTTGTCTGTTTTTCAATCAGGTACCACCTATACTGGAGGTAGTTCCTTTCTCATGGGTAATGGTGAGGGAATTTCAATCACGCATATAGGCTAAGGTTTTTTGAGTTCTAGTAAGAAACCTTTGATTTTGTAGAATATGTTGCATGTACCTAACATAAAGAAAAAGTTGCTATCTGTTTCTCAGTTCACTCGTGATAATGGTGTGTTCATGGAGTTTCATCCCTCTGAATGTCTTGTGAAGGATGCTCGGACTCAAGCAACTCTACTTCGCGGGAGGCTCACGGATGACGGGTTGTATCAGCTGCTGCCCTGTGAGGGTCAGAGGCCTTTTTGCGTGGTGAATAACGTCTCGAAGTCACCTGTGTCTTTGAAGTTATGGCATCAGCGTCTTGGTCATCCATCCCTTGATGTTGTTCAACGTGTTTTGAAGTTGTGTAGTATTGTTTTCAATAAAGCAAAAGCAGTAAATGTGTGTTCTGCTTGTATGCAAGGGAAATCGCATAAGTTGCCCTTTTGTAAATCTTTGACAGAATATAATGAGCCTTTTCAACTTGTTGTCTCTGATGTCTGGGGACCAGCTCCTGTATGCTCCACTGACGACTTTCTTTATTATGTTTCTTTTGTTGATGTTTGTAGCCGTTATACCTGGATGTACCTCTTGAAACGTAAATCTGAAGTGGTTCAGTGTTTTCTTGACTTTGTGAAATTGGTTGAAGTGCAGTTTGGATACAAAATTAAAGCTCTTCAGACTGATGGTGGTGGGGAGTATCAACCACTTCGAAAATGGTTCTCTGCAAATGGAGTGCAACACCGTCTCTCGTGCCCTGGCACCTCGGAGCAGAATGGTAAGGCTGAGAGGAAGCATAGGCACATTGTGGAAACAGGATTGACAATGTTAGCTCAGGCTTCTTTACCTCAGAAATTTTGGAGCTATGCTTTTGCTTCTGTTGTTTATCTTATCAATAGATTGCCCACACCTGTTTTGCATGGCAAGTCTCCCTTTGAAGCTCTGCATCATGTCTTACCAGATTATTCCTTTCTCAGGGTGTTTGGTTGTGCTTGTTATCCTTGCTTACGGTTGTTTAATCGTCATAAGCTGGATTTCAGGTCAAAGAAGTGCGTGTTTCTAGGATATAGCACTTCTCATAAGGGATACAAGTGTCTTGATGATTTTGGCAGAGTAATGATTTCGAGGCACGTTGTATTTGATGAAAATGTTTTCCCTTATGAAATATGTAATTTTTCAGGTGTTGCTCCAAATAATGGTGTCTCCACGGGTGTTATTCCTCTTGTCTCCCCTGCACAGACATCACATGCTTCACCAGCGCATGCTCCACTTGCACCTGCTCCATCAACTAGTGCTCCATCAACTAGTACCCCATCAACTAGTACCCCATTCTCCATAACTAATATTCCTCTTGTCTCTTCTGTACAGACAATGCCAGGTCCATCAATACGTGCTCCAACACATGCTCCATTCTCCATGGGCGATATTCCTATTGTGACCACGCATGTTCCATCTCGTGCTCCAACAAATGCCCCATCAACGAGTACTCAAACGACAAGTGCTTCACCAATGCGTGCAAATAACCCTACGTGTGCGCCTTCAATTCATTCCACACATAATTATTTAATTGAAAATGGTCCACATTCTGCGTCGTTGTCTTCAATTATTGCCGATATTCAATGAGTTGGGACCATGCCATCATCTCATGCGCATATGGGAATAGGAGCTGCTCCAACAAGTGGTCAAAGTATTGGGATTACACGTGAAGGTCCCATGTGCTCTCCACATTCACTTGATTCTTTGGTTTCTAGTGGCCCAAGTGTTGAGCCGTTATCTTCGATGCAAGCTCCATTACGTGAAAACATTTCACGTGCAATTGATAGGTGTGGTGCTCCATCATCAACGCATGGTATTTTATTTGAAAATGGCCCACATGTTATGCCATTGACGCGTGATGCTCCACCGAGTTCAACACTTACTTCAAGCTCACGTGGTCCCATGCCTTCTTCACTAGATTCAAGAATATGTGCAAATGCCCCAACAATGCGTGCACCTCCACTAAGTGAAAACAGATCATGTGTTGCTGGTCCCATGTTGTCTCCACGTGATTCCCTAGTTGATGGACAGTTTGTTTTGCCTACATGTGATTCACTAGCTCACGAGACTGATGGACAAGTCTCGCCTGCACATGGTTCTCCAGTACCCAAAAATATTGTTTATCCTTCATTATCTCGTATTCCTCAGAACACACATTCCATGGTTACCAGGGCTAAAGATGGCATTAGAAAACCTCGTGTTCTGCATGTTGAATGTCTTGATGAAGAGCCTCGGTCCATTAGAGAAGCTATGAAGATTCCTCATTGGAAGAAAGCTGCACAGGAAGAGTTTGATGCTTTGATTGCGAACAACACATGGTCTCTGGTTCCTCTCCCTAAAGACCGTGTACCTGTCAACTGCAAATGGATTTTTAAGGTGAAAGGTAATGCTGATGGCTCAGTGTCTCGGTACAAGGCTCGTCTTGTTGCCAAGGGGTTTCTCCAACAACCAGGAATTGATTACCATGAGGTGTTTAGTCCGGTTGTGAAACCTGTAACGGTCCGAGTGATCCTTACTCTTGCTTTGACAAGAGGTTGGTTGCTGCGTCAAGTGGATATTAATAATGCCTTTTTGAACAGGGCATTGATGGAAGAGGTTTACATGACTCAACCTCCTGGATTTTTTCAAGCTGGTGGTGGTTTAGTTTGTAGACTGCATAAAGCAATCTATGGCTTGAAGCAAGCTCCTCGGGCCTGGTTTGAGAGCCTTCGAGAGTACCTGGTCTCTGAGATATTCAGTTTATCTAAATCTGATTCTTCTTTGTTTGTTAGAAAATCAGAAAATAGTGTTGTCTACATGCTTGTATATGTAGATGATATTATCTTGACAGGGAGTGATGCCAGTGAGGTTCAGTGTGTTATTGGAAAACTGAACACTCGTTTTGCGTTGAAGGACCTTGGTTCTCTTAATTTCTTTCTTGGTATAGAGGTGTGTCATGATGCTGATGGTGTTGTCCTGACTCAATAAAAATACATTCATGAGTTGTTGCATAAGCACGGTTTTGATGAGGCAAAGAGTCTTCCTACTCCGATGGTTTCTAATTGTAAGTTGTCAGCTGATGCTGGGGAACCTGTTGAAGATACGGCTCAATACAGGAGCATTGTTGGGGCTCTTCAGTATATTGTGGTTATTAGGCCAGACATTGCGTTTGCTGTAAATAAGGTCTGTCAGTTCATGCAATCACCGCGCAACAGTCATTTTTAGGTTGTTAAGAGGATTCTACGATATCTTCAAGGAACAGTTGATTTTGGTTTACGGTTTACTGCGTCTTCGCGAATGTCCCTGACTGGTTTTGCAGATGCAGACTGGGGATCTGACCCTGATGATAGGCGTTCCACCTCTGGCTACTGTGTCTACTTTGGTGGAAATCTTGTTTCCTGGAGTTCACGCAAGCAACAGGTGGTTGCTCGATCCACAGCTGAAGCTGAATACAGGAGTGTGGCTTCTGCAGCTGCGGATATCATTTGGATTGAATCATTATTACAGGAGTTGTTTGTTGTTCCACATGACAAGGCTACCTTGTGGTGTGACAATTCCAGCACGGTTGCGATTTGTGCCAATCCCGTTCAGCATTCAAAATTCAAGCATGTTGAGCTTGATTTATTTTTTGTACGAGAAATGGTTGCTGTTGGCCGACTGCAAGTCAATGAGGTTCCTGCTTATGAGCAGGTTGCAGATGTTTTCACAAAACCACTCTCATCACCTTTTTTTCTCAAACATAGACACAAACTCTTGGTCACTCAGCTGTCTAGAGACTTACAAGGTTGAGGCTACAGGGGGAATATTGAAGTAAAGACTAAAGTAAAGGCTGAAGATATAAAGTGTAGGATGAATGATAGTGTTATGATCACATGCATATGAAAGCATGGATGTGATTTTCTGTTATTGTTTAGTTACAAGCTGTCAGTTTGTTATGAATCAATTTTATTCCTCTTGTATAAATACATACTCTCTAGCTCAAGAGAGATCAGATCATTCATTAATGAAATTGCAGAGACTTCTATCTCTCATTTTGTTCATTTCTCTGTTTCTTGAGATAGCTCAAATGCTATCTTATCAAAACGGAGTTAAATTAAATATCATTTCATAATATATTAATTAATAATAGAGTAATTAATAGTATTTTCTGAATAAAATATGGAAAAAGTAAACGAAATAAAGCAGCGTGATTGGGGCGTGACTAATTAAAAGTAATGCTACGTGGGACCCCTCCCATAGGCAATAGTCAACTCTCTCGTCTACTAAACTTCGCGGTGGAAAAATCCAAGGGTTGGGCAAGTGGTTTAGATTAGAGAAAGGAAAAGACTCCACGTGTCTTCTTAATTCAATAAAAGATCTTTTTTATTTTCAATCCAACAATATATCATATATGGATCAGTATTATTCAAAGGTTAAAATCATAATAAGACAAGGAGTAATAAACCTTAATTATTATATGAGTTTAAGTAGGAATGTCTCCCTCTAGACTCTTGCTTTATTGTTATTTGGTTCCACATCGTCAACGTGTTTATTTTTTCTTTCTTTCTTACACCAAAACCAAATATTACGTCATTATTCTCTCCGAGTGGGGACCACCACCAACCATTGACTTCTTCAAATCACTCTTAGCCGTTGGATTCAAACCCAATATCTAACCCCGGTCATTCTTCAACCTTTATACCCCCCCCCCGGTTGCTCTACTACTCTCCCTTCTCTATTCCTTCTCTATTCCTTCAATGACTTCGTTCACCTCTCACCAAGCTTAGTTTCCAATTTTATCCACTGAACATGGCAGTGGATCTGATAACTTTTCCAAAGATCGATGATCAGATGGCTATACAAGAGGCTGCATCGCAAGGCTTGAAGGGTATGGAGCACTTGATCCGACTACTTTCCCACCAGTCAAACAACGTCGACTGCACGGACCTTGCCGATCTCACAGTTTCTAAGTTCAAAAAGCTCATCTCTCTTCTCAACAGAACTGGTCACGCTAGGTTCAGACGCGGACCGATCCAGTCCCCTTCTTCCTCCTCCTCCCCCTCGTCATCATCCTCTGCTTCTCTACCTGTTCCTAATCCTCAACATAATCTATCTCTTACTTCTGCTCCGATATCGACACCGGTTAGCGTAAATCCGGCCCCGGTCGGATCTTCGGTTATCGCTCCCGCTAGTTTTGTTCAATCTCAGCCGCAGAGTTTGACTCTCGACTTTACAAAACCTAATTTGTTTGGCTCCAAAAACAAAAGCACTGAATTGCAGTTTACGAAAGAAAGCTTCAGTGTTTCGTCCAACTCTTCGATTATGTCTTCTGCCATCACCGGAGACGGTAGCGTGTCTAACGGGAAGCTAGGATCGTCTCTATTCTTGGCGCCGGCGCCGACTGTTTCGGCGGGAAAGCCGCCTCTATCATCTACACCATTCAAGAAGAGGTGCCATGAACATGACCACTCGGATAACGCTTCTGGCAAGTTATCTGGCTCCGGAAACAGCAAGTGTCATTGCTCAAAACGACGGTACGCAAAAGCCTTTGCTAGATTTATTCTATTATATTTCAACCCTTGGCGTGTATAAACAGCCAGCTTAGCTTTTTGACTTTATGGAAAACTTTAAAGAAAAGTTGAAAACGGAATCGGCCGTGAGGGATTAAATTTAAAACGACCGAGTTTAGCTGCAATTAAAAATGATCTAGATTGTGGCAAGTTAATGGTTTTAGGCACAGAGCACGCGAATAATGACAAATGCTAGGGTTTTTGTCTTATGTGGTGCTTTTGAAGTTTGACTTTGTTGAATTATGTGGTCCCCCTTTATGACAAAAAAGAATCCGGTTCCAGTGCATGATAGCGAATCCGAGGTCCACAGCATTAATTATTTGTATTTATCATTTCAGGAAAAACAGGGTGAAGAAAGTGATAAGGGTAGCGGCGATAAGTTCAAAGATGGCGGATATTCCGGCAGACGATTATTCATGGAGGAAGTACGGGCAAAAGCCTATCAAAGGTTCCCCATATCCACGGTAACTACTGTTTTCCATCTCCAAGCTGTTATCATTAGATGATCATCGGTTGTTAATTTGTGTGTCGTGTTGACAGAGGATATTACAAGTGTAGTAGCATTAGAGGGTGTCCGGCGAGGAAACACGTGGAGCGAGCTCCCGATGATCCCTCAATGTTGATTGTAACTTACGAAGGGGAGCACCGTCACTCTCAACCTGCAACGCACCAGAATCTGCCTCCTGCCCTGGGACTCGCTGGTCCTGTACTCAACCTCTATTGATTTAATATATATAAAGCACAATGGAAGGTCGAGTAAAGTGCACTAGTGTTCACAATTTCTTTGGATTAGTTGAGGGACTTGGATGTAAATTGACCTTTTTTTATTAATTTCAGTTCCAAATGAAAATTTAGACCGACTAAATCTTGAGATTCTGCTTGCGTAGCAAATTTGATTTTCTATTAATGTTTTTGGATGAGAAAAATAAGCACAAATTGTGTATTGGAAGCTACGTCTCCACAGAAAATGACTAGATTCGGTGAAGTAGAAAGAAGAGATTCTTACTATGTGAGTCAACTTCTTTGATGTATTGTAATTTGAAATGATGATTCATGAAATGTTGCCTTTCTGTGTAACATTTATAGTCTAGTTCAAAGCTTGAATTGGAGTGAGATGGCGCCATTGTCTTGCAAGTGGTGATGATAGCTAGAAAACAAGTCACTGAAACGAAATCGAATGTCTTAGGACAGAGTCTTGAGAAGGGTGGACCAAGATTATAGAGGTGATGCATCAAAGATTGGCTTCCATAGTGCTTAAGGTTTTACCAGATCCCTGGGATGACGTTCATGGGTGCCATGAGGAGGCATTAAGGTTTGTAGTTGAACATTTGGGGAGAACCTGATGAACTGTACATGAAGAAGTCGCTCAGGGATGGGGAAACAAAGCATCTTGCATTAGATAAACTGGAAAATGAGTTGAGGCAATTATTGATGGATGACTATTTTTGTAAAATTTACTATTTGATTTTCGGACCGTGTGTACTCACTCAGTGTACCACTTTCCATCGCTAGGATTGCTCTTTACCTGCGTCTGTCAAACAGAATTTGCGAGCGCATGCTGATTGCTAATAATTTCTCGACAAGTGCGTTACTATTAATGTGGAAGTTGGTAGTTTGAATGTGAGAGTTAGTTTGCTGGCACTTGATAAGTATTATGTTTTCAGAATTTAATAGGCTGTAGAGCGTAGAGGAGTAGATACTGCAGTAAAGCATTTGATGTTTGACAGCATTGGTGTGGATGGGTTGTTTCGCGAAAATAGCCCTTATCCGGATAGTTGGAGTGTTTAACCAATTATTGCAATAAACTTGATGATTATTAGCCAATCCTGACAGTAGACAACTTATGGTCATTCACCATAGTCGGAAGCGTGAAAATTTTCTAGAGAGGATTCATTTTAACGAGGTTTTGAAATGAATTAAGGTGGCTTGGACGAATGCATACCACATGTCCTGTATTTTTGCCATGAACAACAAGTGTCCGAGAGCTGGGAAAGTTAAATTCTCTTCAAAGGCCGAAGAGGCTGGATACTTGTGATGTATAAGCAGTCCAGTTTGGTTATATGTCAACTAATAATGCAGTGCAGACTGTGCTGCTCCATTGGTTGAGCAAGCCAGCCATTGATTGGAGCATATGCTCCTTTTTCATCCAAGGCTGGAAAGGTATGGCTGTTTTGAAGGTAGGTTAGTCTTATCTTGCTGCGTTTTAATGTCTCACCATGCATATGCTCCTTTTTCATCCAAGGCTGGAAAGGTATGGCTGTTTTGAAGGTAGGTTAGTCTTATCTTGCTGCGTTTTAATGTCTCACCATGCAGGGACCTGGAAGCAGACAATGTAGGAAAATTAAGTTGGAAAATGATATCGTCAACAATATCCGGTTTAGTTTTGAACACGTTTCATGGACATTGAGTGTGGGGGAAAGCAGCACAAAAATGCTTCATCCCAAACAATAATGATGATGAGGTGCTTGCAAATTTAGATTCATCAATCTCAGACAATAACGATGGATACTTTACTTTCAATGCCTTGAGGTTGAAGTTACCACGCCCATAAACTTGACTTCAAAATCGTCACAGTTTCCCAACAAATACAAAAATCTATACAAAGATATGTTTGGTAATGATAGTTGGATTTTAATATCCAAATTTATTTTCTTTATTCCCAATGTCATTCTTCAAAAATATAATACATCCTTTTATCAAAATTACAATTGTGCTGATAACCTTAAAGAAGTAAATTTTAGAAAGGGGATGTCATGTATATATTAATCACAAGTGTTGTAATTAATCAGTTAATAATCTGAAACAGAAGGATAGTTGCAGATATGAAGAGAAATGCCCCATTTTACACTTAAATAATGCAATTCCTTTTCATCTTAAATAAAAACAAATACACCTGCCGTGCTCTACTAATAATAATATCTTAAATCTAAAGAGATAAGATAGGTTCAGTGATGCCCAAGCCTCTGGTCGATGTCCAATTGCCAATCATATAATATTAATTATGCAAACTCCACCTCATTCAATTTGACTTATTCATCTCCTACCACTCTTTCCAATTTTATTTTCTTTAATAATTTTCAAATTTCAACAATAGAGCTATATGTTTAGACGTGTGAATGGGGTTTGTACCAACTTTCAACAACAATATTATATTCTGCATATATATCCACAAGTTCGTATATAAAAATGGAATCACTACTTTGGACCAATAAATATGTAGTAAAATGAAGTAGTAATATAATTTAAGTATAAATGAATAATTAAAATAATTTAAGTAATACTACTTGTCAAATATGTATTGTAAAAAACGCGAGTAAGATAATTATTGAAAAAGTAATAGTTTTTTTTTTCTAAATAGTAAATAAATATTATTTCCATAAAATAGTATCAATTTGTTTTTGTTGCCTTTTCTTCCATTATATTTGTGTAATGAAATGAAATGGAGATGGATAGGATTTGTTAGTCTTTGGTCCACCGTCCACCTTCCACCTTCCACCTTCCCTCGTTATCCATTTGTTGCTTGCAAGTGCCTAGTTCTATAAATTCTTAACCTACGCACCCTTTGCCTCATTGTTTTTTCTCTTCCCTTTCTTTAACCTCTAGATTCCCCCCAATGGAAGTCCTGGTGGGACCTACCTTCGGCATCGATGTTGCTGCTTCGCCGGCGTACTCTCGGGACCGGCCTAAGGACAAGATCTCTTCGTCTGCTTGCCTGTTTATCAAGGAGGATGAGGTTGGTGGTGGATCGGATCCCAGGACTCCGGATCTATCCTCCGACAGTTCCTCCTCGATCGGATCTCCCGGAGACAGCGATGTCGAAGACGAAGAAGACGGCATCGTTTCATCTGCGGGTTTGGCTTCTCTGGCTACCATAGAGGACTCTCTTCCCATCAAGTTAGCATCTCCCGAGTTTATTTGTCTGGTTGTTTTTTTCATCATAGAATTTGAACCACCAAAGAGCTCTGCACAGGACTATCCTTTCCCTTTGATTAAAATCCCAAACACCTTTGTTTGTTTTGTAGGAGAGGGTTGTCGAATCACTATGCGGGAAAATCAAAGTCATTTGGAAATCTTTCGGATATTAGTTCAGTGAAAGAGGTGCCGAAAGTGGAGAGCCCCTTCAACAAAAGGAGAAGATTGTTGCTAGCAAATAAATGGTCGAAGTTCAGGAAATCATCATTCTATTCATGGCAAAACCCAAATTCCATGCCCCTTCTTGCTTTGGTTGAAGACGATGAAGATACAGAGATTAAACAAACACCATCGTCGCCCGATGATCAAATAACATCAGTAAAGCCAAAGTTGCAGCAAAGCAATCTGAGAGCTAGTTTCAAGTCCCAAAGTTGTTTTTCTCTCACAGATCTGCACGTACAAGCGGAAGAAGAACATCACTAACGCTTTTTCTTCATTTTTACCGTCGAAATGCTTTAAGATTTAGAGTAGCTCAATATTTTTTACTGGATACAACTGTATATATAAAAAAACTTTTTTTATATAATTAAAATAATTTCCGCCTAGTTTATTTTAATTATGTGGGGGGTATCATAGAAATGGATGATGGTGGACTTCATGTGTGTATGGTATGTGTTATGTGGTAATGGTGGGGGATAGTGAAAGGGGATGAGTTTGATATTTCCAGTGTCGTCCGATAAAGGAGAGGAGACCTAATAAGTTAGGCCCATGTTTTATTAATTTATTTAGAAATAGTATTATTTCGGATATTATTTCCCAATACACTTCCAAGCTATTTTTATTTTTATAATAGAAAAAGTATAGATTTTTGTGTTAATGCTTAATGTGTTCGGAAAGATGCGTGCCGATGCCAACTACCAATGATGACAGATTAGGTGGAGGAAAGAAGTTGGAAAGCTTTATATGTTTATCTAAAACTTTATTTAATTTGAAAGAAAAAGGATATAATAATTTTATAGGTAAACTATGTCAAAGATCATTGAATTAATTATATTCAAATAATTATTTTGGTTATTAATTTTTTAAAAATTATAAATGATAATTAAATTAATTAAACTGTTATAAAATAATTATTGTAATATTATAATAATTACAAAATCTTAATAAATTTAATTTTTTGATTTGATAATTATTTTGTAATAATTTAATGAGATTTTATAATTTTAAAAGTTTAATGATTATTTAAAAAAAAATTAATGACCTACGATGTACTTTATACTAATTTTTATAAAGGGTAAACCACACCAATGGTCACTGTTGTTTGGGTAAGTTTTCATTTTCACTACTAATGTTTTAAAAGTTACAAATCGATCACTAACGTTATCGTTTATGACAAAATGGTCACTGGTCGTTAACATTCGTTAAGAGCCGTGACGAAAAATACAGCTGGACCGTTATCTGCTGAGTTGGATCGTTGACCGCCATATTGACTAGCTATTCTTCTTCTTCTTCAACCCATTCCCCATCTTCTTTTTCTTCACTTTTCTTCTTCTTTATCTCTCTTCACTTTTCTTCACTTTTATTCTTTTCCTCTTATCACACACATGACACAATCCTCGTCTCCAAAGCCAAACCAAACACGAAAACTTACTTTTGGATGATTTCCTTACCTGCAAACATCTCTGTCGTCTCACACTAAAAGTTTATTCTAAGCTTGAAAAACTCCTGAACTCACAAGGGATCACTGACCTGCAAGCTCTTGATCATTCCAATTCCTCTGCTCTGCAAAAGTTCCCAGATGATTTTTTTGTAAACCTAACCAATCTTCAGTCCCTTGACCTCTCAAACTCCGAAGTTAAATGTTTTCCATCTCTTTCCAACCTTGGCAATCTTCGCAAGCTTTTGCTAAAGGGTTGCTCGTTCGAAAGACTTCCCGAGTCGTTAACATTTGGCTCCTTCGAAGGGTTAAATAACCTTGAAGAACGTGATCTCTCGGATTGTAAGAGCCAGGCTAAGCAATTGCCAAGCTTGGAAGGTCTTAATAAGCTTAAGATTATTAAACTTTCACGTTATAAAGCTCTGTCAGAAAAAGATTCCTTGGAGCACATGTCTGAGCTTGAAGACCTTGATCTCTCAGAAACCCAGATTTAAACCATACCAAATTTCGTTCCATTATTCTGAATAAGTGCACCCAACTCAAAGAAGCTTCAAATTTTAAGATCTCTGTCAAGCTTTGCAAGCTTGACCTACGTGGTACAAACTCTTTGAATTTGAAGGGTATAGATTTTGAAGCATTAAGTCGCCTGTCTGAGCTTCGGAGACTTAGGTTATCCAAATATGCTTTTGATTGCATTGGATCTTATTTGGCAAATTTGAAGCAACTTGAGGTTCTTGATATTTCTGGAGAGGCTGTAGAGTCTTTGCCCTTCTCTTTGGCCAGTCTTACCGATTTAAAGCAGCTTTTGCTAAAAGGTTGTTCGAGCTTAAAGGAGTAGCAATGGCTGAAATCATTGAGTCAACTTGAGGTGCTTGATCTATCAGGGACCTAGGTGAAAAATCTTGGGGACGAAATTTCACCGTTAAGAAATATAAAGAGTCTTTATATACTGGAGGAGGTGGCTAAAGAATTTAAAGGTGGGAAGAACGCCGACGCCCTACCGATGGAGCTAAAGTTGGATCATTGTTGTATCTCTGATCCTTCTAAGATTCCTCAAGGGGATAAGAAGCCAAGGATAGTTGTGCATGGCGTAGAACTTCTCAAAAGTTTGAAGGAAAATTCCACATTGCTAGAGAAAATCAGGCATTTAATTTCATCGGTTCGAGCAGAATGCAAAGATGAGGACAAATATAGTGACAGCCGTAAGCATATCTTCGGTGATGTCTACACCACGATCAGAAAAATTCATGCTAAAGAAGTTGGTCGATCTTTGGAAATCCATGAATTTGATGATTTTCCCACTGGTGTTGAGGTTCTTCTGGAGCATGCCAAGTATGTCTTTTTGGTCGAAAATGGTTTTATGAAGAACTTGTCTGATTTAAAGCTTGATAGCTTGAAGAACATCAATGGTTGTTTGTAACATCCCAAATTATAGGTTAGTGACTAAATTATAAAATTTCAGAATTTGGTAATCAAAGTAGAATAGTTGAATAGTTCAATGATTTATTTGGGAATATTTCCGGAAAGTTGTTAGTAATTATCCAATGAATTAAAGGGTAAAATGGTCAATTGACAAGGAAAGATATTTTTATCCCCTTTAATATGAGATATACACATGGGGGAGAGTAAGATGAAAATATTTCTTCTTATTCTTCATTTCTTCTTCTCCAACCGTGGAAACTAGACAAATATAAGAGTTTCTTTGTTTCTTGATTATTTTTTGAATTAAAGGTTGGGTTTTGATCATTAGATGATAACTAAGCTTAAGGAAAACTTAAGTTATCTTAAAATCAAAAGATAAAGGAGTTATGACAGATTAAAGAAAATGGGTTTTGAAGTGAAATTTTGAATAGGAAGGTTTAAATGAAATTGGAGGATGAATTTGACTTGACATCTATGAGAATAAGAAGTTAGAAGTGTTAGAATTAACTTTGGATAACATGGAAAATTTGGTATGATTATTGATTTCTATATGGAGAATAGAATTTTGAGGTTTAAGATGAAATAAATGGATATAAATTAGTTTAAGTATGTATATTTGAGTTAAGAATATGAAAGGGAATAAACATGAAGAATTTAAGTTGATATAGTGAATTTTCGTGCATGAACAATAATTTCTGGGCTTGAACGAAAAATTCCAGATTATGCAGGGGGTACAGATTCCCCCTGGGGGGTATCGATTCCCCCCTAAAGAAAAAAATATAGAATTTTGGTTCATTAAACCGGCTTAAGTTATTAACATCAAGTTTAAGGTTTAAGCTTCTGATAATTGTTTTGAAATGTTATATTTATGTAGATATTGAGCCTAAACAAGTTTTGGAATAATCAAAGGATTAGGATCGGAATAATCAAAGGATTAGGATCGAATCAAATCAAGGCTAAGGTGAGTGCAATTTAATTTGTGCTTATAGAACGAACATTGGCTTGTGATGAGCCAGTGACGGAGTTACTATGGTAAGAAGTAACTCTTAAAATGTTATTGTATGTGATATGAGTTACATGATTATATGTATATGTGATATTTTTAACATGTTGTTCTATGTGTTGTGTGATATATATGTGCTTACATAAGAACATGAGAAATAAAATAAGTTATGTGATAATGATATAGAAAACGAAATGAATGACATGAAATGTGTGTATACTTGATTATATGAGTGGATATGTTATTGCAAGTACTAAATCGCTTATGTAAATAAATTAAAAGGTGAGATAAAATAAGTAGTATTTACTTATAAGGTAATAGGAAATTATGTGAACAGATAGTATTGATAGGACACATAAGACTACATGTATATCTTTTAATGTAATAAAAGTGATATATGTGATGTATTGGAAACATATGAGAACAAGAGATGCCATGATTTGTATGATGTATGAATTCATGAGTAAAGGCATATGTGAATATAATTGGTATGCATTATATGCCATGTGAACATAAGAGGATAGAGTATGTTATATGATATGAGATTAAGTGATGAAACATAGATGATATATATATATATATATATATATATATATATATATATATATATATATATAATAAGACATGAATAAAATGATATATATGTTTATGTGAATCCATGCAAAGTGATACGGGCTATGTGACATATGAATATGAATTCATATGAAAAGTGACATGAAAGTAAACTAAGTGATTATATGCACATGTGATATGTGATCATAAGAGCAATGATATGAGTACATGAATACATGAAGCAACAGAAAAATGCCCATGTTATATGATACTAGAGCTATAGGTATAGTTGGCATGCCAGGAGTAGAGGGTCTACGCGGTCATTCGGGACAATTCTACGTGGTCCTTCGGGATATATGTTATTTCGTGGAACATGTATGTGGTACTTCGGTACACTTATTTGGTCTATTGTATTATGTTTATGGTTCTTAAGAAGTGGTCATTCGGGACATATGTGATATGTGGTCCTTCGGGACAAATATTCAGTGCCCCTAGTGGGAATTTATACGAGTTGTGGTGACAATATTAGTGCACAACCTCAATGTACTCACATACCTTCAGTTCTCACCAGTGTACCATGGGATAATAAAGAGATAATATCAAATACAATATATATATGATGTATATGTTGTTTTTATGATACGAAATGCATTATATGAATTATATGATGTTATGAGTGTTTTGTTATGAAATGATATATGTGTTCCATTATGTATATGGAAATGTTCAACATATGCTTATATGATATAAATGAATTGGTGATAATAATATGATTACTGATAAATATGTTCATGATAAATGTATATATGTACATTGGTTATACAATGGGATATATGTTTTTATATGATATGATAGTATTTGCAGATGTATGCCTTTTGTTTATATGAAATGGTATATAGTTATAATATATGTTTTATATGCCTCACTAAGTCATCGACTTAGCGTGTGATTGTTTCACATGTAGGTTTGGAAAGCGAGAAGA